TGGTGGCACACCAACACAGCCAGATACTGGTGGCACACCAACACAGCTACAGCTACTGGTGGCACACCAACACAGCTACAGCTACTGGCAGCAAATTTAAATAAGCTCCCTCTAAAAAATGCAAAATGTAATACAGCTTCGTCTTTTTACTGCACACTGTAATACTGATTCATCTACTAACTGCACATTGTTTGTTGTAAATATTTCAATATTATATTATTATTGTAATTGTAATGGATTGTTTGCACATTGGCCAGGACATCCCTGTAAAAGAGATTAATGACCTCAATGGATTTCTTTCCTGCTAAAATAAAGGTTTAAATAAATTGTAATACAGCTCCATCTCCTACCTTCACACTGTAACACAGCTTCATCTTCTTAATGCACACTATAATACAGATTTATTTATATATTATATTTTATAACACACTGGATTACAGCTCCATCTACTGGCAGAAAACTGTAACACAGTTCTATCTAACAAAGTTCATGCTCAATCATCCAGGTACCAAATCCAATAATTCTCAGTTGGATCATCTGGACAGTTTCTTTTTATACTGGTTGGCCCACTTAAGGAGTTTTCTGCTTGGTGGGGAAACAGTTGACTGGAACTCCTCTGATTGATGAAGCCCTCTGGATAGAGGGCGACATGTCTCTATAAAAAAGAAACTATCCAGATGACCCGACTGAGAATGATTGAGCTCCATCTAGTGCGCACGGTAGCACAGTTCTATCTACTAATTTGTTTATGGTTATAAAACAAGTTTGTAGTAGTTTTAATTCAGAACTCATCTGCTGCTGTGACTAATGGATTTCCCTCAGAGTCTTTAATGCTAAAGTCGGCCTTTATGTCTTAATGTTGTTATTTTTTTTAAATATTTTTCTAAAGATTCTCTTCACCGTTCATGAGAAAAGTATCTCCATGTTTGGAGCAACATATGTGATCATCAAATTTTTATCTCGTCATGCTCACCCTCATGTAAAACTCGCGTCCATCGTTGCCCGACTTTATCTGGAAGATGTAGAAGACGCCAGGGTAACGTGTGGTGGCCTGCATCTGGAAGATGTCTGCAGGCACACTGCGGCCCGACGACAAGTCCATGTGTCGGTACAAAATGGTGAAAGGCCTGTTCCCGCAGGCGGGGTTCTCAGCTGAACACATGCACTGACTGCAGAGCAGAGGAGATGCCTTTAGGTTTGAGGGAAATATTTAAAATATGCTAGTTAAATACAGAAAAGTTTGTGATGAGTAAAAAATAACAAACTAAAGCTCACTTGTCACTAACTGCTATGTAAGGAAGCTGACACTGTAAGGGATCCAGGCAGGTAAAGCCTCCCTGGAAATTGAAACACACTTGTTCTGTTGTACAGGTGTTGTTACCAGTGTCACATTCATTGATATCTTTGAAATCAAGCACACAACAGTTAGAGTCAGTTAGAGCATCATCAGAACCACAACAACAACAAGAATTCAACAACTGCAGACAAAACACTGCGAAAATACTTTTCTCGTCAATCTAATGGAGGATGATTTTTTTTGTTTTCAAAGCATTGCTGTGAAGATATGACTTTTTCCTCAAAGATAAACAGAAAAGAAAAACGAAATAAGATGTTTCATAACTAAGTTAGTTCTATGAGCTGGAAGGAGCCGCAGCAAACGTCACATGTTCTCCCACCGTGATCTTTACCTTCACAGTTCCTCTCATCTTCATATAAATAATATCCAGGTGGACAAATGCAGGTGAACGAGCCGGGAGTGTTCACACACCTGAACTGGCACAGAAACTCAGAGAAACTGCACTCATCCAGGTCTGAATGGAACAAAGTTCAAATATATTAATTATACATGTTCGAATGGGACACAGCACATTTTACTTCCACTTCGGAGAAGTTTTCTCCCTTTGCTTGTGTTTTTCACATGCAGGTAAAGTGCAGCAGAAACTTGTAAATGTTAGTCTACAACACATCATTTGTATGAAACAGCTCCTCAGAAGAAATCAATACAAAGTGCTTTCTGGAGAAAAAGCCTAAAACTGGTTCATGCATTTGTCACGTCTAGACTGGACTATTGCAGTGGTTTATTATCTGGGTGTCCAAAAGTTTCTTTAAACATCTTCAGTTGATCCAAAATGCTGCACCAGAGTCTTAACTGGAGTTAGTGGGAGAGATCATATCTCTCCAGTTTTAGCTTCTCTCCACTGGCTCCCTGTCAAATCCAGAATAGAATTCAAAATCTTACTTCTGACCTACAAAGCTCTCAACAACCTAGCTCCATCTTATATTACAGATCTTATTGTTCCATATTTTCTTAACAGAGCACTTTGCTCTCAGACTGCAGGTTTACTTGTGGTTCCTAGAGTTTCCAAAAGCAGAATGGGAGGAAGATCTTTCAGTTATCATGCTCCTCTCTTGTGGAACCAACTTCCAGTTTCCATCCGTGAGGCTGACACCTTGTCTAGTTTTAAGACTGGGCTTAAGACTTTCCTTTTTGATAAATCCTATAGTTAAGGTTGGCTTGGGTTTCCTTCCCTTAGTTATGCTGCTATAGGCTTAGACTGCTGGAGGACAAACTGACCCCATCTCCTCTCTCTGCTGCTTCTTTACTTGCTCTACTCTACATGTTTGTATTTGTAATTATTTCTATCTTAACATGATTGTATTCCAATAAAAACTAAATCTGGACCGTAGAAACTTCACCTGGACCTTAGAAAGTAAACCTGAACCACATAAATTATACCTGGACCATGAGAACTACACCTAGACCTCAGAAACTTCACCGGGGGTGTCATGTACAAAGTTTGTGTACACACAAAAACATGGCGTACATCCATTTTCATGCAAAACTTCAGATGGGTCACGAATAGAATGACCGTGGTAATGTGTGCAGGCCCACACCAGCTTCATGCTGGCATACAGGTTTCTTTAGTTACTGGTCCGTTGGTGACACTTGGAGGTGATGCTGGGAAAATGTTGATGTGAAAACTATTATTGTGCATACAGCCATGCACGATCAAATATGTATGAAATAAGAGTGGATGTAAAATACCTTTAACAACAACAGCTTTAGTTTTTATAGAGGGTTTAACAAATGGAGCGATACTCAGAGAGCGTGTGTTTAGAGACAGAGGGGATGTTCTGGACATCAGACGTTTTAGTCTTTCAAAGACAATCCTTCTGGAACTGTGCATGGATTCATGCGTATGCACAGTGTCATACATCTGGATTAATTTGTGCGTACGTTGTTTTTTGATTTAAGCATACGCCATGTTTCAGTAGGAAATCCATGCAAGTCTTTGTACATGAGGACACTGGACCGTAGATCATACACCTGGACCATTCATTCTGTGTTTATGTGTCGTCTTTCTGTCCTCTCTGTCCCCAGTCAGTCGAGGCAGATGGCTGCCCATCCTGAGCCTTGTCTGGTTCTGCAGGAGGTTTCTTCCTGCTGTAGGGAGTTGTTTCTTTCCATTGTCACCAACAAGCTGCTCAAAATGGAGGATTGTGAATATGTGATTAGGAATGAGATCATCAGAGGTACAGCACAGGTTGAACAACTGGGAGATAAAGTTAGAGAGACCAGATTGAGATGGTTTGGACATGTCCAGAGGAGGGACAGTGGTTTGGACATGTCCAGAGGAGGGACAGTTATTTGGTAGAAGGATGTTAGAAATGCAGCTGCCATGAAAAAGACAAAGAGGAGATCTATGGATGCAGTTAGAGAGGACATGGAGGGAGTTGGAGTGAGGACAGAGTGAGATGGAGGAGGATGACTCGCTGTGGAGACTCCTGAAGAGGGAAAAGCCGAAAGAAGAAAAAGAACAAGAAGATAAATTAATAAACTGAATGAATTGAAATAATTCAGTGAATATCCAGAAAAGATTTGCACTTTGCACTCTGAGATAACTTCTGATCAAAACGACGATGCTTCATCCAGAAACGTGTAGACTTGGATGAACCGCAGCTAAATGTTTTACTCTGTACAAACTGAAATGTAAAAGCGGTCACCGATGCAGCTCGTCCCGTCAGACGCCAGCTCGAAGCCCTCGTCACAGTTGCACATGAAGGAGCCGTAGGTGTTAAAGCAGCTGTGAGTGCAAGGCTCGTCCTCACACTCGTCCACATCTGGATGGAGAGCAGAGGTTAAAGGTCAGTGTCGTTCGGCTTGTTCTGTTCAGACAAACTAGCCTCTAAAATCACACAAGTTACAAAAATACACAAAGGTGTGTGTTTTGATTAAAATGTGCCGTCCATCGGTTCTAGGTTTTCAGGATAAAATTATCATTATATCATAATATAATTTATTATTAGATTAAAATCTTCGTATCAGGTCTTAAAACAGCTTTTTGAATTCCAGATGTGGCATTTCTTGAAGGAAAGCATATCAGTCTTTCAGACCAGAGTTTCAGAATCAACATGTCTGCAGCTGCAGAAGAAGCTGGAGATGCAGACACAGCTGCAGACACAGCTGCAAACACAGCTGCAGATGCAGATGCAGATGCAGATGCAGCTCTGTCTGCAGCTGCAGATGGAGCTGCAGATGGAATTACAGACACAGCTGCCTCTTCAGCTGCGTCTGCAGCTGAAGAGGCAGCTGTGTCTGCAGCTACACTCCACTATACTGTAGGCAGCCCTAACACAAGCTAAAATGATCTGAACACAAGCTAAAGTGATCTGAACACAAGCTAAAGTGATCAGATTTTTATCTTCCTTGTTATGTTCAGTCATATTAAAGAATAGAGACAGACAATGTGATGTCTGTCAACTCTTTTACTCCTGTTGTTTTTACCCACCACTCAAGAGGTGATTATGTTTTTATCTGTGTGTGCATGTGTGTGTGTGTGTGTGTTTCACAAACACTGAGCTGCGTTCTGGTGGTAGTAGCTGAGAGTCATCCCCGACACGTCTCATAGTTAGAACTTGTGTGCTGTCATCATGAGATGATCTCAGGTTGAAACTCGGGCATGAACGGCAACATGACTTCATTCAAGAAACCCTCGGTCTTCACTCGTTTAGTGCCTTGGAGACGTTCATTCTTTAACGTTTGTCAGAACAAACTTTGACCCCCAAAACAAAAACTCTGCCTTTTTTTTCCAAAGGAAATATGGTTCTTTAAAGTCTTTAAAGTGAGGAAAGATAAACAGTGTTTGTGTTTATAATCTGTAGAGAATTAGGAGCGTAGATGTTCTGAATGTTAAAAAGTTGCTTTAAAAAACACCACCACTGGGTGGAGCTCATCCTGTTTGAAAGCCACCTCCAAGCTCCTCCTTCAAACCAACACCTTTTATTAATAAAGCTAAAATAGATTGAGTTTAAAGTAAAAACTGTTGAGATGTTTAAATGACTACATCCATGATACATTCATGACAAATGGTCCTAAATGATTATAAACTGTGCAGTACTGATTCAAAGGCTGACTCATCTTCAGTGGTTCTTCCTTATGTTTGTGTGTGTGTGTGTGTGGGGGGGAGGTTACCCTGACAGGTCCGGCTGTCTGGGTTGAGGAGGAAGCCAGGGTTACAGGAGCACGAGTACGAGCCGGGGGTGTTGGCACAAAGCTGCTGGCAGTAACCGTAACGACATTCATCAATATCTGGGGACGAATAAAAGACAGATGGATGGAAAACATGAGACATACGGAGGAATGCTCAGGAAATAAAGATGGTTCTTAATGCGGATTATTAGTATTTTGCAGTGTTCTGTAGTGGTTGTTATGTTTTGAAGACTACACTTTACAAAATTTTATGCCCTTAGATTACAGCTACATCAAAGTTTGAACTTCTCAGATGAATTAAACTCAAGTCAGAAACAGCTTTAGTTGTTTGCGTTTATTTTTTTTAATTATTTGTCACAAAGCACACTTTGTGTAATTCAATGTTCTGTTAGGATTGAAATATTATTGACTGCAAACAAATTCACCAACTCACCAACCAACCAACTAAACAACCAACCTACCAACCAACCAACATATCAACTAAACAACCAACCCACTAAACAACCAACATACCAACCAACCAACCAACCAACTAAACAACCAACCCGCCAACCAACATACCAACATACCAACTAAACAGCCAACCCACTAATCAACATACCAACCAAGCAGCCAACCCACCAACCAACATACCAACCAAACATCCAACCCACTAATCAACCAACCAACTAAACAACCAACCCACCAACCAACATACCAACCAAACAGCCAACCCACCAACCAACATACCAACCAAACATCCAACCCACTAATCAATCAACCAAACAGCCAACCCACCCACCAACTGACCAACCAACCAACTAAACAACCAACCAACCAATCAACCAACCAACATACCAACCAACCAACCAACATACCAACCAACCAACTAAACAATCAACTAATCAACCAACCAACCCACCCACCGACTGACTGAACAACCAACCATCCAACAAACTGACCAACCAACCATCCATCTTCTTTTACCCACTTCTCCATTCAGGGTTGCAGGGAGCTGGTCATTCTCCAGCAGTCACTGAGAAGTGGGGGGACATTTGGGCAAGTCTCTAGTCCATCACAGAGACACTAAGAGACAGACACCCATTCACACTCTCACTCACACCTGGGGACAATTTAGTCATTAATGAACATGGAGGTTTTTGGGAGGAAACTGGAGTATCTGGAGAAAACCAATGTGTGCATTGGAAGAAAGCATAAACTCCCCACAGAAAAGCTGGAAACAAACCTGCAACCTACCCGCTGTGGGGCAAAAGCACTAACCACTGAACCACCATGCTGCCTTGCTGAGAAACTGTTTTGAACAAAAATTGATGTTGGTTTGTGGTTGACTGAATTTGATTGATGCTCTCAATGCTGATAATTCTTTTATACAGGCTTACAAAGTGTGGGGGTAGGATAAAGTTGAAGTTCTGAATATAAGGGCTTATAAGGTTTTTAACATTGTGATCTAAAACCAGTGATGGCTGCATTAGTTTTATTAATATTGTTTAAATAATCTGAATATTTTTAGGATCATTAAAGCATTCATTCAATAAAAAAAATAAAATAAAATAAAAAACAATTTAGAAGTAGCACTACTTAAAACATTTTTTAAAAGCATGCAGTTGTGGTCCCACCCTGGCACTGTCCTCCGATGAGCCAGTAGCCTTCGGTGCAGGAGCAGGTGTAGCCCCCAGCTGTGTTGATGCACACCTGGGTGGGGTTACAGTGATGGGAGTTTGCCTCACACTCGTCGATGTCTGCACCAGAGAGGAGGAAATAATAATTATAATAATGATAAAAATAATAATAATAATGTTTGTTTTACCAGGTAGGTCAGTTGAGAACCTGTTCCCATTTACAATGACACAGGTAGACATAAAACAACAAGGATTAAAAGAAAACATCACAAAACAAATAGAAGAAATTACCATTTCTAAAACATACTATACAACATTTAAAAAAGAGCATTAGGAACAATAAAACAGTGACAATCATTGTAAAACTAAAAGCAATAACACTGTTCTTGCACTTGTACAAGAACACTAGTGCAAGAACAATGTTCTTGCACTAGTGTTCGTGTTGAACGAAAAACGTATCAGACCTTTTGATCTGAAAGGAAGCCTCAGTCCCAGCACTCATCACCCACCACCACATGAGAAGGTCATAATGTTTTGGCTCATGACTAGTTGTTAGCAAAATAACTCGATCACTCCACAAAGCTTACTGAAACTTTCAGAATGTGCATCTGCAACTGACTGAGTTGAACTAAAGATGGCCGCCACAGCCAATCAGCATTAGCCAACACAAAAGTGGCCATGACTGAATCAGTTTGACGGATTTTGGGATGTGGTAGTAGTTGAGAGTCGGTCACAACATACACTCTGAGTGTAACTGCTTTGACTGAAACCCATTCAACTCAGTTTATGAAAGACAGTGGGCGATATGCATCCTTCTTTCAGTTATGAACTGGTATTTCATTTTGCTTTTGTTTTTACTGGGAGAAACAACCTTAGTGAACTACTGTCTCACTCATGGAAACTTGTCTGCAGCGTTTTTGTTTTTTCACCATGTGGGTGACCTCGCCCACCAGACCTACATCACCTCGTCGTTTCAGAAGGCTTCGATTCAAAAGTCTGTCTCAGGGTTTTTCTCACTCTGCGTTAAAATAAACACGAAACATGCCACCAAGTTACAATGTGCTTTTCACAAGATTAGTGATATCTCACATTTCTATCTGAATTCCATTTAGGCCCTGGAGCGTTTCAAACACAATCGAAACACAAACATTTCCTTATGAGGAGAGAAATATTCAGAGAACCAGGCTCAGGTTCTGGTTCTCAGGCTGTGAAGTCACCTATCTGTAGAAAACCAATGGGGGAAGTGGGCGGAAGTCCTTTTTTTGTTCTGATAAGAGCGACCTCGAGTCTGAGACTAATGCCCTCTGTGCCGGATGGAAAAGGGATGTTGGGCCAAAGGCCAAGAGCCACAGAGCTGCAGCACCTGATTGCAGTTAAGGCTGAGCTTTTCTGAAATCTGTGCACATGTGCTGACCCACACAGCAGCTTCAGGACTGTTTCAGCTCCGACACATGTATGAAAACAGAACACTGAAAGGACTAAGACCTTCCATTTATACAGAAACTGGTTGAATATTAACCTCAGTGGCTGCGGGGGGCACCAGCCCCACCAGGTAGATACATCATATGCGCTTGCATTCCAACATTGTCAACTTCTCTGGTCTCATCCAAGACTGATGTCTTCTGTGTAAAGCAGTTTAGTTTCAGTCAGGTTGGTTGCAGAGCGTCTGAACAGCAGCTTTCAAATTTCTCCACAGATTCTCAGCTGGAATCAGGTCTGGACTTTGACTGGACACACAAACACGTTTTGTTCTGACCCATTCCGTTGGAGATCTGGGTGGATGTTTCAGGTGGCTGTCCTGCTGGAAGGTGGACCTCCACCTCAGTCTCAAGTCTTTGACAGCAGGTTTTCTTCCAGGATTTAGCTCCCTCCATCTTCCCATTTACTCTGACCAGCTTCCTGTCCCTGCTGAACACAAGCATCCCCACAGCAAGATGTTGCCACCACCATGTCTCACAGTGGGGATGGTGTGTTCAGGGTGGTGACATGTTTTAGAGCATTGGGGTCAAAATGTTCTGTTTTGAGCACCTTCAGTTGCCTTTACATGACATAGAGGACAAACAGGATACTTTCTTCCATACAGGACAGATTTGTAGACCAACAGTTGTCCTGTGGACAAGGTTTCTCAACCCTACCCTGAAGTTCGGATCAGGACCAACCCACCTGAGGTGTGGCTCTCTGCAGCTCCTCCAGAGTTTGGCTTCTTGGCTGTTCTTCAGATTAAGGCTCTCCTGGCAGTTTTGGCATCTTGGCAGGTCTTCTTTGGTCTTTCCATGTTCAGATGAACAGAGGCTAACCCTAACCCTGCTGTAAACGTCTCAACACACCAGACCCTGAAGTGTCTGCTGTGTTCCTTGGTCTTCATGATGCTGTTTTATCTGTTCTGTAATGAGCCTCTGAGGTTCGCAGAACATCTGGATATATCCTGAGGTTAAAATACTCACAGGTGGACTCTGTTTGTTTTCTGATGAAGTCATTTCTGAGGTTTACTTCAAGGGATCAGAGGACAGGGGGTGAATACTAATGCACACTGCACCTTTCAGACTTTCATTTATAAAAATAAAAACTATGAATCACTTTATTTCCACTTCACCGTTATGCTCAACTTTGCGTCACTCTGTCACTTTAAATCCACATAAACTGTTCAAAGCTTGTGGTTGGGGTGTGTGAACACTTTCAGGTCACCCCAGGTTCTGATGGAGTGCTGTGACAGCAGCTGAAGGTCCATTTGTGTCACAGCAAGGTCCACGACTGAATGCCCAAGAACTCCTGGACCAAACGTCCGTCTTGGATTGATAGAAAGTCCCATAGGAGGAAGCTGCTGATTGACTGCTGATGGAAAAACATGTCCTGAAAGTCATCAGAAGTCTAATCAGATCCATTGTTCCCCCACAGACTGGTCCCACAGACCGGCGCCAGCAGGGAAACACACAGAATGCTGTGGCACGAGCTGAAAAACAAAGCTATGTTTGTAACAGCTTCATCCATCAGCAAGCTATTACATCAGAACACACACTCTCACACACACATGCATGTGTGTAGTAAGTGGCCTCCTCAGGGCCAGTCTGGGTCTAGATTTGGTTGAACATGATCTCACTTTTGGCACTCAGGAGGTGGAGTTTACCCAAACAAGGTTCTTAGCTGATCCCCTGGAACCGAACCAACACCCCCCCCACCCCCACCCACCCCCCAACAGAAACAAGAAGTCCATTATTGTCCATGAGCTCAGTTCAAAAACAGAAAACTGAAGACGTCATGAGAGTCATGGCTGATTTATTCTCACAGACAAGAAAATAAATAAAAACTGACGGGGGGGTTTGGTTGTCCATAGGTCCAGGCTGGTCCACAGAGGTTGTTGGGTCTCTAGTTGTCCTGAGGTCTAGGCTAGTCCATAGAGGAGATCAGGTCCTGAACCTTGAAGTCCTGCACCTTTGTGACCTCTGCTCCTTGTAGCCTCACTGTACCACTGGCCTCTCTCATTCACACACATGTACTCTGTTTTACTACGGCTGACTTTCATTACTCTTCTTTCAAGTGCATACAAGCACCTCTGCAAGTTCTCTTCCACCTCCACTCTTCTCACACTGACAGCTTCTTCTTATTTATTTGTTTATTTTTTTTACAAACTATACATCAAAGCTCACATGTGACCAGAGTCTCCTGTGGCTCAAGGTTCAAGAATCCGTAAAATCTGATTTATACTTTTTACACAGTGACCATTTGATTGAGACTTATTCTTCAGTCTGTTTCTGTCTGCCTCTCATTGACTTATCAGCCACAGGTGTGCCATTGACAGACACAGGTGTGTGGTTACCATGGTGACCATAACAAGCCACTGGCAGCAGCTGTAACATTTCTTTTGATGCAATTCACACATCAAAATGTTTTCATGGTCTGGAGTCATAAAAAGTGTCCGGCAGAGTCAGTTGGTGAGGCAGTGAGATGGAACAGAAGCTGGAAGTTCAAGTCACAAAGAATGAGCACCCCCTCATGGCTGGAGCAGTATAATCTTTAGGTGCCGCCCCTCTACATAAAGAATGAGCGCCCCCTTATAGCTGGAGCATCGTAATCTTTAGGCTCCGCCCCTCTACATAAAGAATGAGCGCCCCCTTATTGCTGGAGCAATATAATCTTTAGGCCCTGCCCCTCCACATAAACAAATGGAATGTTTTCCTGACTAAACATAAATCATAATAAATTTGATTTTTTTTTTTTCAGATGCTGATTCTTCTAGTTTCTACCTCATTTGGTCAAATGTGTTTTTTATATTTCCATTCAGAGTATTCAACAAGATTACACTTAATTAGTTATTCGAGGCTTAAAGAAAAGTGTCATAATTCACTGTAATTGACAGTGAGTAGGTGGGACTTTTGTAGCGAGGGTACACCCCCACGCCTCCAGTTTCAGCCTCTGGCTCCAGAAATTTAACGTGGAAACTCCCAAAAACACAGATTGGCTTGAGTTCTGAGTAATGACAGAAACTGGAAACGCTTTGTCCATCTTTTTTTGTCAATGGGGAGAAATAGCTCCCTGGATTGAAATGTTGCACACCCCTGTCATTTAGAAAATTTTCCTTTATTCACTAACCTGAGGGATTAGGAAGGACTCACCATTACAGGTGCCATCATCAGCAGGAGCGTATCCCAGGGTGCACAACACGGGGCTCCTCACTCTGGGGTAACTCGGCTCCACGGATCTTGGAGGAGCTGGCTGGAAGGTGTCTGCAGCTCCATCAGGGGGGTTGGGGTAGCTCAGTTCTGGCAGGATCGGGCTGTTTGGGCTGTAAGGCCGGTCGTATAAGCCAATGGGGATGCAACGATAACCTCCGATCTGGTTGACACACCGCATATCTCCTTGGCAAGCTCGAGGCAAGATGGCGCACTCGTTCACATCTGGAGAGCAGAGGAGAGCAGTGAGAAGGACATTCCTGCAGCCAGGAAGCCTGTGGGACAGACTCCCATCCCCTTTAGACCCATTACTCTATACAGCTTTACATCTATACGTTGGGAGAACTGGGGGTGCAGAGGTTAGAGAAGGCGAGCCTGTGATCAGAAGGTCACCAGTTTGCCCCCTGCCCCCAATCGGACTGACATCAAAAATGGAAAAGGTCAAACACCCAAACCAGCCTCCACCCCATTTGCCCCACTCTGGGCCCTTGAGCAAGGCTCTTAACCCCCGCAGCTGCACCCCGGGCGCCTTAAGATGGCAGCTCTCAGCTCCACACAGAGGACTATGGTAGCTTGGTGGTCTGTGGTTGCATCAGGAAGGGCATCCAGAGTAAAAACAATTGCCAAGCCTTCATGCGAGTTAGTTCGCCATGCCGACCCCTCAAGAAGGGAGCAGCCGAAAGACGAATAAAAAACAATAAAGTCTGTGCAGCATCTTTTACTAGAGAAGATACAGTACATCTTTTACCTAAAATGAATTTTAACACAATTTACAGAGTATTCACTGAATGTTAGTCTACAACTGATTAACTGTTGGAGACAATCGCCAAAACTCAGTGAAATGTACAAATGACCTCATTTTGGTGTGGTATTATTTGAGACTAATCTCCAACACATATTGTGAACATGACCATCCATTCCTCATATTGTCTCATGAGACAGAATTTTATTTCCAAGTTATGACCAAAACAAAGAATAACTCCACGGTTCAGCTACTTAGTGCCAGATTTCTGCTGCAAACATACATCGTGACCTACGATACAAGTGGTGTATGGGTGCCTTGGGAGGCCAAAAACAACTCTGAGACCTATTTAAAAGTTTTTTCTGCACAAAGTAACGACAACAATAATTACAGTACTTTATGTAAAAAGAGAGATAGAAGATCACATTCATAAGTTATATACAAACATTTCAAACACCTCATTATAGTTTGAGATCTATTTACAAATCAAAACCTATCTGATGTGGGTTAATTGAGATGTGTAAGTTGTGAGTCGTGGTTCAGTATGATGATTCAGACCATTAACAGGTGAGTCAGTAACCGACCAGCTGTTTCCAGCTTCTTCTGTCGTCGCTTTGTGTGTTTAGCTATCCTCGTCCTCTGTTAGCGATGACGTAATAAATGCAGTCTTATGGTAAGTTCGGAGGTGAGGCTGTCTGAACTGGAAGGTTGGGTCGGTTCTTTCCGTTATGTTCTTAGGTTCACACAGTGAATACATTTTCGTTATGTTTCGTTGATGTTATTACTTCTTGTCACTAGAGGGTGCTGCTTTGACAGCATGGAGCAGAAGATACTGCCAAAGAAAACTAAGATAGTGACGAGACAACGTCGTGTTCAAACACTTTAGTATGAAGTCCACCGCCTGTTCTGCATCAAGAAGTTTCTACCAAGCTTCTCAACCGTGGCTGAACCACTGCAAGAGTTACTTCAAGCAAGCACTTCAGCTGCAATACAATGAACTGATGCAGCAAAGAAAAGTTTCACTGATCTCAAAACAATGTTCCAGAAAAGTCCTGCACTTATCCTGAACAGCTCTGAACATCCTACAGATGCCTCAGACTACAGACTGGCAGCTGTTGTGTCCCAGAGGAACTTAATGTAGCTTCTGCATCCAGGACCCCATCTTCAGCCGAGAGACTTCTCTTTAGAAAGAGAAACTTTTGATCGTGTTCGGACCATTGAGAGTTTCAGGACACAAATGTGGAAACACAGACTCAGAACAGATCATCAAGCCCTCACCGCTCTGCTGAGCACTAAAGGGATGAAGTGAGAGTTGTGTGCTGATCAGACTGATGTGTTTCCAGGACATCGTGACTGTACTCTAATACCAGATGTTTGTTTGAATAAGGTTGATTTGTATCTAAAACTACATTAAATAAAGAGATTTAATGATGGCTCAAGAAGGTGGCTGCAGCCAAGAAGCCCACAGCTGCTAAGAAGTCCCCCAAGAAGGTGAAGAAGCCCGCCATGGTCAAAAAGGCAGCCAACAGCCCCACGAAGGCCACCAAGAGCCGCATCGTGGTGAAGAAGGCCCATGCAGCCAAGAAAATGCCAGCAAAAAAGGCAGCCAAACCCAAAGCCAAGAAGGCAGCTCCCAAGAAGAAGTGAACTCGGATGCATTGACCTCCTTAATTTGAGTCAACGGATTTGACTTGAAGTCTCTCTACATAAGAAATAAACTTGATCTTTTACCTCACTTGAAGGGAATAATAAATTGGGATGTTTGATTACAGTTTGCAAAGAAAAGCTTCTGAATGGGTTGCCAAGTCCTTATTGACATTCCATAGCACCCATACAATACTTATACTACAGTACACAACTATGTGTACTGGCAGGCATGGTGTCAGTAACAGTATTATTTCTCAGTAGGTGAGTTTAAAACTAAAATAATGGGTGATACTCATTCTGCCAAGGAATGAGAGACCTTTTGTTTACGTTAGATATGAACATTTTATTGACAATAGGACTTTAGGATAGACGTTTCTCACCTGCACATTCTCTTAACCTGCCGTCAAATACAAATCCATTTGTGCAGGTCTGAGGAGAGACAAGAGTCCAGGTTAGAGTTTGTCTGAGGATCAGGAGGTGAATAAAGGTGTTTAGTTACCTGTCCATGTCCAGACTGGAAACGCAGCAGAATAAATACCAGAGCAGCCAGCATCCTGCAGACAATTTCCTTTACATTTCACTCTTTTCGCTCAAACTTCAACAATAAAAACTACTGATTATTCTGCTGCTGCACAAAACCCACAGTAAAGAATGAAGTACTGACCTTCCAGTGGAAGCCAACCTGAGGCCACACATTTCAGACATGCTTTGATGATTTCTGCTGAGTTCCTTCTGGAAGGAAAGATTCAGACCTGGAAACAGAGAAGCCAGCGGGGCTCACTGCAGCTGCCCCAACTGCACCCAAAGCCAACACGAGGTTTTCATCAACAGGCTGAATCTTCGGCTCATTGACCAGGAGCTGCACAAAATGACCTCCAAACGCATAGACGACCCGTTTCTGCCCAGAACCTTCGACTGCACGGATTATTTTAGCAATGCAAGCTGACGAGTCCTGTTCAAGCACTTTCCACCCCCCCAACAGCTGGATTCAATCAGGAGATTCAGAGAAAACCCAGCCCCCTCCAGTCAGACAGACACACACAGACGGCCCATAGCAGACACACACACACACACACACACACACACGCACAGAAAACCCACAACCTACATATTTATATATGTACATATATGTACATATATGTACTAGACAGACAGATTTTGCACCGACTTCTATTCATTTTCCTTTTTTTTTTCCATTTCTATAGCCCAACCCTAACCCTTACATATCAAACCCCAAACCCAGGGCTTAATTTGAGCCGGATCCTGCCAGAACAGAATCTGGGAACTCTCTTATTTTGACAAGGTGCTTCCGGTAACTGTTTGCTAGGATCCGGCTTGGATTGATGGAACTTGATGGTTCTGTCAAGTGAGGGTGGAGGGCTGACAGAAATGGAGTGTTTACGTATGTATGTAAACGTAGATGTTTAACAACCTGTTAAAATACACCAAAATGCAGGAAATCGCATCTACTTTATTAAAACTTTTCAGGGGGAGGACACCCAGACCCCCCACCCCCCACACACACACCACCATCACCGCTACCACCCCAACGCTGGCCTGTCCGCCATCTGCATTCTGGCATCGATTGGGTTACAAATTAAACCCTGCCTAAACCTAACCCATCCTCAAATCACAACTTTGTCCTAACCCCTATCCCATCAATGGTACTTCTTCTGATGGGGACCAGGCTTTGGGCCCCATAAGGAGCCATAGGTCCTCACAGTGTGGTTTGTGTTGAAAAAATGGGCCTTACAAGGTAATAAATACAAAGACACACAAACACAGTCAGAGTTTGGTGTAAGGGATAAGAAAAGTATGTACAATGCAGTTGTAGCTGCCATGAGTAATTCACATCATCCTTGATGAAGTGGAGGAGTTTGTGTGCCTGAATAACCACTTTGCCATTGATAAGTGACTCCACTCAGCTCTTGTCTTCTCAGTTCTTCTAAGGTGTAGGTGATTTGCCACCGTTTCCCCGCTCTGTGGGCGATATCGTAACAGGTTATTGTGTTTGAGTCACTCTGCTCGTTGTGATTCTAAATGGTCCTATAATCTGACATCAATTCCTTTAGCTTATCCCAGCACTGTTTACAAGTCCAGGTGTAGCTATGTTGTGCCATCATCACTGATATCTCTCTGTAAATATGCTAATTTTCTGTGGCGCCATTCGTCAACACGATGAGGAGGTGGAGGCTCAGATGTAGTTTGAAGTTTTACTGGGCAGGTCATCCATTGAGGTAGCTCTGCTAGCCAATCAACAGCTGCTGTCTGCTCACGTCAAAATCAGCACCTCAAAGCAGTCCGCTTGGAACTGCAAACAAGGTGGTCCCATAAACTGGGCTGAGTGGGGGTGGGTACCGGCAGTGGGCAGGCCCTTAACTGCTGCAGCATGGACAACATGCAACAACGTGCGCCAAATGTTACTAGGAGCTACGCTGTCTGGGGCAACTGTCCTTGGCAGGGTCTCCTCAGGAAAGTTGGTTCTCTCTCCCTTAGAGATAGGGTGAGAAGTTTCGTTATCCAGGAGCGACTCAAAGAAGAGCTGCTGCTCAACCTCATAGAGGAGGCAGCATCTGATAAGGATGCCCCATAGACACCTTTAGGAAGGTTCTCTGGAAATATCCATTTGGGAAGAGGCTCCGGAAAGAATCAACGACTAATGCCCCGTTTCCATAGTACCTTATCAGCACGACTCGACTCAGTTCGGTACGGTTTTGATCCCTTTTCCACCATGAATTTTTCGTGGAACTGGCAGCTTTTTTGGCCCCTTCTTCTCAAGGGTACCAAGTGAGCTAGGCCGGCACCAAAACGTGATGTCAGAACACTGTCGGTCACTAATTGGTCAGGGGGTGGAGTCACTAGAGGGGTTTGAGAATTTTCACAACACTTGATCCGCCATTTGAACACCAAATTTTAGAAACATTATGACAACACCGTGGTCTAATGTTGAAGTGCAGGTGTTTTTTGTTCTTGGTGGCCAACGACAAAATTCAGAGTGAGGTAGATGGAGCTCCGCCAGTCCTCGACTCTTCCCGGTCCTCTCCACCGGAACCCCCTTAGGGCGTCATCTCCCCAGCTCCAAGCTCCGCCAGTCACTGCGGAAGATCTTTGTGCTGCCGACGAATTCTCTTGGCTGGCCAGGGAACACCTTGAAGTCCTCCCAGAAGAGCTTGAAGAGTTGACTGTGGAAAGAGATGTCTGGGCATTCCTGCTCAAGCTGCCGTCTTCATGTGGACTTCATATGGCCCACATAGCAACAGTCCAGCCCAGGAGCTGAGCTCTCAACTGATCACCTGATTGTGAGTTGGATCAGATGGTGTTGGGAGATGCTGGACAGACCCAGTAGACCCAAACGTGTAGTGAGTATTTACAGGGAACTTCTGGCAGAGGAACCCATCAGAAGTATCTTTAACTTCCACCTATGAGAGATCTTCAACCACATCCAAGTGAAGGCAGTAGACAGAGTCCAAGTGGGCCATGTTTTGTGTCTTCATTGTTAAGCCAAGTGCCCCGAGTTGTGACTGAAAGGTTGACTGTGTCTCTTTTTAAAGGTAGTACCAGTTGATTGGGAGACTGGGGTGGTGGTTCCCCTCTTCAAAATGAGGGTGTGCTCCAATTACAGAGGCATCACACTCATCAGCCTCTGCTGTAAGGACTATCCAGGAGTGCTGGAGAAGATAATCTTGCTGATGGTTGAAGCTCAGATTCAGGAAGAACATTGTAGGTTCTGTCCCGGCTGTGGAACTCTGGACCAGCCTTTAACTCGTGAGGGGGCATGGGAGTTTGGCTGAGGGACTTGGGTCGCAGCACCCCCACAATATAATTTAATAATTTAAAAGGAAGGAAAATAAATCAACACATGAAATGGCTCATAAGTTAGAGGTCACCAACTGGCACCTTTATTTAAAGTCCAATTTCAGAAGGTCATTCATGTTCAGAGTTACCCTTTGTTCCACTTCCAAGATTCAGATTTTACATTTACAAAAATTCTTTCCAGTCAGGATTTACAGTTTACATTTCATCAGTACACCTGGACAAGTCCTGTAACATTCCTTCTGCAGCAGCTGAGCGGTGCCTGCTCTGATCAGGTTCTTAAATTTGATGTTCAGGTTTTTACATTTTCAAAACATATATATCTTTATACTGACCATTTACAGACCTGATCAGACCACCAACCTGCAAAAATAGAGGCACTCAACTCCACCAGCTTCCTTTGTGCCTATAAATATTATAAAATACTTATTTATTTACATTATATCTGTCTAGTGTTGTCCTTCAGCAGCTCCAACGATGCTCTCTGCATACTGCAACCTGGCTGTCTGGAAACAAAGGTTTAGCAAGAGAACGCACATCTTTATAGTTTCAACAGATGTTCTGAACCACATAAATCTCCATGTTCTCGGCTGCTGCCAGTTGTTTTTTTCATACATTATTTAGTCCTGGGTCAAAAAACCCTAAAAGAAAAAGCTTTTTGATGCAAGTTGTTGAGAAAAAACAACCATTTGCTCCTGCAGAGATGGTGATCAGTTTATAAGGTCACTTGTGTTCAGAATTGGAGGGAATTAAAAAAAACTAAACGTTCTCACACTGGAAGTTCCACGTATCAAAAATGTTCTCATCCTGCTTCCTTTTGGCACGTGGAGTCGCTTCTTTGAACGTTTTATTTGTGGTTTAAGACCCAACAGCAGCACTGAGACAAAACCTTTACTGATGTGTAAAGCCTGTTGCATAGAACTAGAACCACGAGAACATTGTTGATAATAATTTTACTTTGAACACTTTTTCAAACCGCTTACGACATTTTGTTGGATCCTTTCATCATTTATTGTTGCTAGAAGAACCAGATGCAGTAACAGGTAGGCTCCTGAAAACCTCCGTCTGCAGAGAACTCCTGCTGGATAAACAGACATCTGAGCGGCCCCCGGTGGGCCATGTCACTGCTTCAACAAGTCCTTGAGCACAGCGCCTCCACTGGCCTCAGCTGACACCGGTACAGGTGTGAAAGTGGGCAGAGCATTGGAGATGGGCTTCATCAGCAGGTGGCCCCCTGAACCACCAGAACCAGACCCAGCCAGCAGAGGCACGGCTGCAGAGCGAGGGGCCAGGAAAGGGTTGGCTTCACCAGCTCGCCTGACAGACGCTGCAGCTCCTACGATGAAAGAAGCTTTAGTATAACTCTGTGCCATGCTAGTTAAAATCAAAAGCTTCCATGTAATTGCAATAAGCTCGTTGCTGTGGCGTTCCTCAGAGCGGTGTTTTACCTGCAGCAGTGGGAGCAGAACCACTGGTTCTTCTTGCAGGGGGGGCACTCAGAGGCTTGAAGTCATGGACCGGGAGCTTTGGTGCAGGCAGTGAAGGGGTCGATTCCATCTCCAAAAACTTTACAAACATCTCTGAGAAGGACTGAAACAACAAGGAGTTGAAAGTGATGATGTCTGCAATACCAAACCTCTGGGTTCTGGTCATTTACAAGCTCTTTACATCAGCACCACACAGTGATGCTGGAGAACCTGTCGTCTGTAGTTCAGGACTGGGACTGAAGTGGTAGTTTAGGGAGTTCAGGTCTGAGCTCCCAGGACCTGCAGGCCTCAGTTGACTGAGGAAGTAGAGGTCCCAGTGTGCCTTCTTTACCAGGCAGGAAATGTTGTGACTTCAGGTCATCACTTAGGTCCACTCCCATGTACCTGAAGGTGGACACCACTTCCACCACTGATCCTCCAATGTGCAGCGAGAGGGTATTGGACCATCTCCATGGTTCTCTTTACGTTGACAAAGATTTTCTTTGCACAGATGTTCCACCTCAGTCTGCAGCCAGACTCATTGTTGATGTGTCTCAGCACAGCTGTGTCATATACAAACATCACAATTGAGCATGCATCAGGAAACATCACAATACATCAGCCTGGATGTTTTGCTGAGCAGTGGAAGGTGAGCAGGGAGAACAGAAGGGGGCTCAGCACACAGCCCTGAGGAGACTCAGAGCTGATTGGGTGATTGGGTGAAGAAAGAACAGAGAACCCAAGTGATGACAGTTTGTGGACCAGGGTGTGAAGTGTAAAGTTTTGAAGGCCACACACACCAGGAGGACATGAGATCTTAGTCTCCAGATGGGTGAGGACTGTGTGGACCACAGAACACCGTCGGAGGAGGAACTAATCCTTCCACTGCCATAAAACTCTAAAGAGCCTTTCAATGAAAATAGTGAAATGTCTTAAACATGTGATGCCACGTTCCACTGTGAATAAAACGTGTTTATGAGATTTACAAATTGTTACATCCTGTAATGTAAGTAGGGCTGGATCATGAGTGAAAGTTGTGAAAAATCTGTTTTCATGAGTTAGAACAAGAAATATTTTTCAGTTGAGATATTTATTTTACCGAGTTCAGCCCCTGACCAGCAGTGGGTCTCTGCGGAGTGGTCGGGACACTTTGTGCTCCTCTGCCTCCCAGCCAACTGGACACCCATCCAGTAACACCCCGCCGTGCATCCTCCTCCAGCATCTGCGTGTGGGGGGAGGGGGTACGGACATTTTAAAAAGGAACAAACTCTAAACGTCAATTAATCATTGATGATTCAAACACATTTAAGGATATCTAACTCCATGCGATGACTCCTGAAGTGGATCAGTTGTAGATGTGGAGCATGAGATTTGATTAAACCTCATCAGTGGTTCATTAAATATTTTGCTAACAGACAGTCACAGCATTCTCAACCTTTCACCTCTGACAGATTTGAAGATTCTTCTGTCTCTGCAGGTGACCAGACTCGGTAGACAGTCCATCTTTTCAAACAGTTGTTTCCTCTCATCCTCACACTGAAAAGGCAGAGGATGGCTCTGTTCCTGACACCACAGCTAAAAGACAGGCTCGGTTCCTGACACCACAGCTAAAAGACAAGGCTCTGTTCCCGACACCACAGCTAAAGGACAGGCTCGATTCCGGACACCACAGCTAAA